GTGGGGGAGATGGGCGGCATACAAGCCGAATAAATAAATAAATAAATAAATAAATAAATATGATACTGTGACATTTGAACTTGGCTCAGATATTCACACAAAGGATACATCAGGGAAGGTCCCCACCTCACCACAATTTCCCATTACTCACTGGCCCCCAAAGAGTTGCATTCCCAAAAGGGCAAAAACGACTATGAAGAGGAAAAGGAGGAAAAGGAGACTGATGATGGACTTCATGGAGTTCAGCAGAGATACAACTAGGTTTCGTAGAGAAGCCCAGTACCTGCCAAAAGAATCCATAGATAAGCAATGTATGGAAAGTTTATCTGTTAATACCAACATCAGAAACGCATGAGAAAAACACAAAACCCATTCAGGCCTGCAATTTAAGCTAATGCAAACAACATTGATATTCCACTGAGTTATCATAAAATGTTTTCTTACATGACCTTGGTATCATGTATATAACTGATAATTAGCATTATATTTTAAATAATTTTTTAACAATTCATTTCCTAGTTTTTTTAAAAAAAGAAAACTACATTTCTCTTCTAGTAAATCATCAGCTCATCTTGTTTTAAGTATTGGCAAACTATGTATTTACTATAGCTTTATTCTTTCTACCAGCTCAAAGATACTTGTAGTATAAGCTCTTCTCCTGTTATTATAACATCTTCATAACATCCTGTGGAAGGCTGAGAGAGAAACACTGTCTTAAGGTCTGTCTCAGCAGTACCTTGACTGAAGATAGGTACTGATTCAAGAGCGGTTATGCAGATTTGATCCTAGGTTTCCCTCTTTTAGTCTAGTCTAACAACTGATCCACTAAAGAAAGCCTTTTCTCTTGCAAAACATGCTAATTTAATATTAATTCTCAAATTATTTCCATTCTATAAACTGCTACTAACTCTAGCCTATGCTGACATCCTTGCTTCAACTCTATATTTAGAAAACACACTCACAGACTAACTCATTTCCATGCATTTCTGATATATTGACTTAAAGCCGACTTACTTTGTGACTTTGAAAATGCGCAGTAACCTGAGAGCTCGTAAGACGCTTATTCCAAAGGAGGTGCCAGGCTTTATTGCAGCCCAAATGACCTCAAAGATGCTCCCAATGATAACCTGCCAAAAACCAAGGCAAGTCAACAAGTTTTGAGGTATGCATTATGTAGCTATACAAGATATGCAGAGGTATAATTGGGCATGATTATGAAAACAAGTATAGGAAGAGATCATAATTCAGTGAGACCACCAGCTGAGACCAGTCCCTGGGAATTCTAATTAAATTGTCTGGTACTGCCAGTCACAGTTGCTAGTACTGGGTTAGATGGCCAAGCAGCCTGATGTAGAATAAGACAGCTCCCTATGTTCCAGAAAAACATTTGAAAGATAAAGGCAGCATGCTGCTGTGCTTTTCTAAAATGTATATATATACCCTAGAAAATAATAATTTCTTTACATTGAATTTCTGTTCTTGTTTTCACCAAAAGCATTCCCTGACCTTAATTTGACTTTGAGAGAGGGTTTTTAATCCATATTCTTTTGAACTATATGCTTATTACATGGAAACTGATGGCTGAACAATGGAAATGGATTTTCTGTGCCTTCTAATTGTTAAGAGACTAGCCTTATGCTTTTTTATTGTTAAGATAAATTATCTAAGGCCTCAGTTTTCAGTGGATTGAAGAGTTGGTATTATTTGCAAGGTATGAATGAGTTGCTTACAGACTTAGATTATATATGGATGATTAAACTGAAATTTGGTAACCCTTTATTGAAACTGTTGCATATACTTAGATACATAGATAAGAGGCCCATATCTATCTTGTGTCTGTCTATTTATCTATTCGCCCAAAAAGGAAAATGGTATCATCTATAAAATGATGATACATCATTATAAAATGATACTGTTTTCCTCTTTTTTCCTTTTTCCCTTTGTTTTCTTTTTTCTATTTTTTCTTCATTTCATTTAATAAAATAAAAGCCCCTCCTGACTACAATTGGATTGCAAACAACTCCTAAAACCCATAAGATTGACAAAGAAAACTTAACTATGCCAACTGGTGAACAAACTTTGCCAAGGGACACTCTGTTGCACAGCAACTTAGCATCCATAAGGAAAAAGAGAGACAATAGGCCATCTCTTCATGTGCAATGCAGACACAACCCCTAAGAGAACTACCTGCCAAGGAGACCCTTTGGGATCCCCAGGCAGGATTGGGAACAGAAATGCATGGCAAGGAAATGTCTGTTTTTGCTAGAGATTCATACAGAGCACTCCTTGACCTCTGGGCATAATTATAACTATCTGGGCAGGCTGCAAGCAATCAGAGATTTAATGCCCTAGAATGTTTTTGAAGTACCTTCTTATAAAAAGCTGTGCTGAAGCAACAGCAATATTGATTCTGTTATATTTAGAGAAGGTGTGAACTGAAGCCATATAGCTGCTTTTCAGATATCCAAACAGAAAATTATCTTCACAGGATGCAGAAATAGCTTTCTCTAAGAAGAATGAAAGTGATCTTTCTGCACAGTGTTTCCCAATAGCTTTTTATGCCCAGACAATACATTCCTTGGGCTACCTGGAAATTGTGATGCCCTGTTATCCAATATATGCATTAGAAGGGCAGGATAGAAGTCTTTATACAAATTTAAAAATAACAATAGAAGGACACAGATATCAACACTGATTTCTTGTAATCAGTTGCCCTATGTAAATGAGAACTAGTATGATATAATGGTTAAGGTGCTGGATTAGGAGCAGAGGAACTCAGGATTCTAATCCATGGAAACCAGCTGAGGGACCTTGGGCCAGTCACTTTTTCTCAGCCCCAAACAGCATCAGAGTCTGCAACGAGCCAGCTGAAAAACAACCCTCTTGTTGCATAATGCATTGATGGTTTTGCTATGTGAACTAGACAAGTGCAGTGCAAACAAGTGAGCCCTGTAATGAAGCAAGAGAAAATGCTAGGAAGAAGTTGCTTTCTCTAAAATGGTTGTATCTACATTATGTCAACTTCAGTCCTTTGAATGTACACAACTGGGACAGAAAGAACGGAAATTAATTATACCAACAGTAAGGAGTTAATTTGAGACATAAACATAGGATCAGGCAGCAAAACCACATGTGGGCTGAAGTTACTGCCTCTCACACAATGTTAAAACATCTAATATCGAAGTCATCTATTAAAGCTAACTGCATGGAGATTCAAGACCCATAAAAGGAACTGCCTCTTTACACAATGCATAGTTAACAGTGGAATTCATTGTTATCAGCTGTTGTGATTAACTGCCACCAATTTAGATGGTTTAAAAGGGGGCTGGGCAAATTTTTATGAAGGATGAAACTATCATTGGTTATATTCTTCATGGCTTTTTACTATCTCTGGAATCACAAGCCACATGCCTTAAATACTGGCTGCTAAGGAGCAACAACAGGGGGGACTATTGGCCATCTATCCATTTATGAGCTTCCTAAATGCTTCTGGATGGTGATTGCTTGATGCAGTATTCTGGAGCAAATGGGCCACTGGCCGTCTCTAAGAGACCTCATATGTTCGTTTTTTTTAATGTCCCATAATCATGTGGTTGTCCATTAGAAATATCATAATTTGATGAAAAACCATGAGTTGCAAATTGTGACAATTAAAGGAAAAAGGCTTGAATTGCCAGAGTCAGTTGATATTGTCTGCTACTGACCAGGTTTCTTAAGTTATCATAGCTTTCATATGTAGCTCCATCCTCCAGACAAAGAGAGGGCCCTTACTAAAGAGTTTGAGATTTTCTGAGAAATTTCCTGGGTCCACATTAGCACAGGTTTCTTTTGACTCAGATGAGTATCCAAATTCAGATGAGTTTCTGTTGAGTTATTAGATTCTGTCATGGCAGCAGGAGGCACTAAAGAGTGTAAGTATGCAGACAAGATCACAGGGTGGTGTTTTGGCATTAGAACAGCATTCCCCAAAGTTGGGAATGTGTAATCAAATCACTGTTGCCAAAATGAGATGGAATTTATCAGATTAAGGACTGTTTAATTCCAGTTTTCCTATTTCCAATTTTAGTTTACCTCTAAAATGGCTTAGGAGAGGGCTTTTCTGCTGCTTTTGAAGCAATACTGTACCCCTTTATTTTCATCATTTTATTCTTAAACAACTGAATGATTTTCTTGTGGCTTCACCATGAGAACAGGAAGCTTTCTCACTGGCAGCAGCTACCACCAATGGTTGCTTCTTCATTCCATAGCACTCCGTCTTCAGCTGGAATGTCTCTGGAGTGCCTTCATACTGGGTTCTGGGACTTCTTGTAGCTAATTTGCTTCTTCTTCCTCTTTTTTTCCTAGCCATTAACATAGTGTGGCGAGTCAAAGATGGGGCTGGAGGTCAATTTCTGCATTCCCTTATTGATAGCTAAAGAGAGCACACATTAGCTCTGGCCATTCCGACTCAGCCATTGCAAGTAAGGCTCTGAGGGCTTGGGTAGTGCTTTGATGGAGATAATGGCTGTGTTATCTAGGTGTCCAAGATAACTTCCAGGTAGGAGCCACCGCAGCACGGAGGGATCAAGATGGTGGGCAAAACTTCAGGTCCAAGCCCCACTCCTGTATGTGGCATTGATACATGTAGAAGGCAAAGGGATTTGACTGTGCAATTGCCTCTGCTATCTTGTCCCTCTCCAGTTGTGGAAGCCTTAACTTCCAGATAAAATAGCATGTGAGTGGGAGCCAGACAGGCCTTGATTCATGATGAGCCTATCACTCTGCAGACAAGTCAATGTGATCTGAATGTTCTGAAGTCATTGTTCTTGGAGGGAATGGATCAAAATGTCATGGAGATAACAATTCTGCATCCCCTGAAAAGTGTCATAAGCAGTACTAACACTTCGATAAAGGACTTGATACTGGGAATGTTTGTTAATGTAACAAAACCTTAAATATCTTCAACAATTTCTGACAGATTGATGGAAGTGATGAATTCCTGTTTTTGACAGGGTTTAGATAACAGAATGTAGACTTTCCATCCTGAAATGTATCACAGCAGTGTTCCTGTTGACCTATTTTAGCCATTCTTTTTGAGCACTAAGAAGAAATCCAAGCAAACCCAGTTTCTGCTAATCCTAAAACTCTAACACATAAATATGCTGCAAATGCAAACATTTATGGAGGTATTAGCAAATAGCACTGGATCTGCTCTCTTCAGAATTAGATTTAGAAAAGTTCACAACTTAAGTTAGAGGATTGTAATTATAACACTGGAAATCACTACAAACTTTTGAAACTCATTTTTCACTCAGTTTGCTTGCAGAGTTTAAGATTAAGCTATTCATGTTGCATTTTCAAGAAAGGACAAACCCAGCTACGGTGTGAGAGAACATCCAATGCTAGCAGGTTGACTGAAAAAAAAATTACAGAGCAAGTCTTTTTTTTGTGAGGACTGATGGGAACTTATTTCCTGATCATTTATCATGTAGGTTTAGTTAGGTTTAGACTCCCCATGGAAATGAAGTTTCTGCTCTAAAGTTATTCTCATTAAGGTGCTAGCTGATTATAATGCTAATGTATCTTCACTGTAAGCACAGGCTTGGAATATATACCAAATCATCTACCAGAATCTACTATCAGTTGCAATTTGACAGTAATACAGGCAACAGCAGAAATACTAACATTCTGAAAAAACTTACAGCACAATCAAAGCAGTTGAAAGATGAATGAAAGTAAGGCCGCGTTCCAAGCCCATACATTTTTATAAACATTTCGGACATAAAGAGCCCTAAGAAAATGAATTCTGCATAGTCTGAAACAAAGGAGGAAGAGAAAAAAGGTCAGAGATATACTTTTCCATCCACAAAACTATCTCTTCTTTCTAGCTCTCAAAAAATCCTTATGTCTGACCGTACAGGAATTTCAACCTTATTACATTGGAATGGCTTCTGCTAGTCTTCCATAACTGAAACAAGTCAATATATCATATTACCTTTGTAGATTCAAGAAAGTAAACTATAAGACAAACAACAGTCTCCCAGAGAACAGATACTCAGCTATTCTACACTATGAAAAATCTCCCAGATTATAATTTTGTTACATCATAGTAATTCTGGATTTCTTTTCCATATGTTTTATTTTAGAAATATGTGCTGATATGCAAAAAGAACAATGGCATGATTCCATCCTGGAACAAAAATGAAAACAGACAACAGAGTTGAAGGCACAAAACAGCTTTTAAGAAAGTGACCTTACAGCAACCTGTAATATTTAAACCAAGAGTTACATATTTCTATGGGCTACTTCTCATTAATTTCCATTTTGCAGATGGAGACTCACGTAACTATATATCTGCACAAAAAAATTCTTCAAAGAAAAAATTAGCAATAGTCCTATACTACCACCTTTTAATACTGTTGTGCGTTACTTTTCACTATCAGCTGGAAGCAGAATTAAAACTGAAGTTCTCTCTAATTTAGTCAGGCCAAGATCCATCTGCAATACTTACTAACAAGTAAGTTCTCAGAACTTTAATTCAAAACTTCCTTCTTGCAGTTCCAGTCTACTTTATTTCTCCCTAATAAAAGTAGCCAAACTATTATTGATGAACTGCCTCTTATTCATTTTTATTTAATAATTGGTTCCTTTCTCTTTTTTCAAGAAAAGATGTCATACTTCAAGAAAGTCAATATTAAAGTGCTTTTCTCTTTAGGAAATAGGGACTTCAACCTCTCTAAATACACAGAAATAAAAGGAGTAAAAGTTCCATGGAAGAAGCTTTTAATTAAAGGCATCAACTAGTAACAGTTACACAGAAGAAACTTTGAACTGGAACACCAGCTAATCCACCTTTTTTACCTGGTATTGCAATCATATTATAATGGAATGTCAGAAATCAGGTCTGAAAATTAATTTAGAAAACATGCAATTCCAGTTCTTTTTTTTTTGTGTGAGAATGTTTTCCACTACAGGATTCCCTAAGCAGAGTTCCCAACCACAACGGGAACCAGAGTAAATTCCATTCAGTAGCTTCATACTGATCTATCTCTATTATAAGTCTATATCACTGTTATAGTTTATGGATTGGTTTAATGCCATAGTTTCCTGCAAAGAATTTTCAGAATTGTAATTTGATGCAACTACTACCAGTATTTCCTAGCCTCTCCTAGAAGAGGCAATGACAAATCAAACAACTCCAGCCTGTAGATTATCTTTTCTCCCTTTCTAGACAGCATAGTATATGAATTAAAAATCCTAATCTCAGCTCCTGTAATCTATCCTATATGTTCTGTTTAAACCCACTTATTCCCAAGAAGTTTAATTGTGGTTATTTTTAAAGGTAAATCTCAATCATATGAATGTAATGTAGGGAAGAGTTCATTATTACTGTCTTCTCAAATGATAATGAACTATCCTGATTTCTATTAAGCAAAAATGACAAAGCCTAAATTACTGCAAGCCTCCCTCCCTCTAATGAATCCATTCCATAAAGAGGTACACGGCTCTGCTACTTACAGAGGAAGTCAGATAGCCAATCTGGCTGGTTGTAATGTACTATAGCAACACACAAAGTGTTGAGAGCTACCAGACTGAGGACTGTCCAGTAAAAGGCCTGAGTTTTGACAATACGACGGATATAGAAACGCAACCTCCGCTCTTTTTTGTGAAAGAAAGTAGCATTTTCCAGCGTGACACTTTTGATGCTGGCTCGAGCAAAAGGTGAACCTGTCAGGAAGAAATAGAAGTTAGGAGCAGAAGGGGAACCACTTATTTGAGATAACCCACATGTAGGGGGTGGAAATTAATGAACTTGTTTTATTTGGTATGGTTGAGATGGGTAATTGTGAACCTGCTTTATCTTCTGTGGTTTTTAAACAAATACTACCAAGTCTTTCTAAACACAACTGCTCTGTAATACATCATGTACAAGAAGGAAGGTGATAGAAGGATCGGCGATCGTTCAGTTCTAAGTGTCCTAGCATTTACCATTCTGGAACAGCAAATTCTAGCATGCTTGCTGGTGGATGGACCTGCAGGGCTGATATTGCATTTTGGCATTACTTAGTCAGCCTCTGTCTATTTCTCTTCTGAGCAAGAATATCAGTGAGCACATTAACTGGTCCCCTTTATAAAGAGTAGTACTAGAACTGCAGTACTTGCATATATATGCTCACAAAAACAGCACTGTTAGCAAACTGTGAAAACCAGTGTGTTAGCAAATGGTAAGTCAGGACATATTCCCTAGCCACAGCTGAGCAAAAATGAGTTACAGCAATACATTAACACTATACAAATATATAATTAAAAATAAATGGATTCCCAAATGCATGTTAGGATAAAATGTGAGTTCCAAATCTGAACAGGTTTTCCAGATTTGAAAAGGTTGAAGATTACTGTGCTTCCTTCCTCTCTTTGGCTAACCTACCTACTGAAGAGATGTCAGCCAGTGGGTCATCAGCTTCCTCTGGGTTCAGCAAATCTGTTTTGCTTTTCTTGATGGTGGCCCTCCGAAGAGCTCCAACAATAGGAACATGGCAAGAAAAACAGACATTATCCTCAAGGTCCCTTTATCAGATTCACTAGATTTTTTTTAATCATTTAGGATAGTGCTATTTTTCCCAATATACTTTCCAAATGGACTACAACTCTCATTATGCTCCAACCAACCTAGGCACTGGAATCCTGGATCAGGTATAAATAAGAGTTATAGCTCAACATATCTCCTGAACAACCTGTTGATTAAGATAAACATCTTGGTCTTTTCCCCCATCCTGTTTAACACCTAATGAAGCTGCTAGTAGAGGTCATCTATTGGTTTGGGATGAAGTATCATCAATATGCTGATTATACCCAGTTTTATATCTCTACCCTAGGCCTTGAAGCAGAAGTGCTGATGTCTGGAGGCTGATAAGATCTGGCTGAGATACAATAGGCTCAGACTCAATCTAAGTAAGAAGTGGTTATTCATTCAGAAGTCTGCTAATTCTGAGGTTCTATTAATTTTGGCTCTTACCAGAGTAATGTTCTCTTATGGAGAGCAGACTTGCAATTTGGGGGTCCTCCTGAACTCACTCCTTCTGTCAGAGAAGGAGGTGAGGGCTGTGGCCAGAAGGGACTTCTTCCAGCTTTGGCTGGTGTACCAATTACAGCCTCACCTAGCACAGGAGACACTGAAAATGGTCACTCAAGCCCTTGTGATCTCCCAAAAACTCCAGTTGGTGCAAAATACAGCAATCCATGTGCTTACTGGGCAATCTTGTTACTGCCAAGTGACACCTCCTTGTTTTCTGAGTGCAGTTCAAGGTGCTGGTTATTAGCTATAAAGTTCTACATGGTTCAGGACCTGGATATCTATGAGACTGCCTGTCTCAGGCAGCCTCAGTGAACAGAGAATGCTTGCTGAAAGTCACTACCTACCAAGGAATTTTTAAAAGATTTTTTTAATCCCGCCTTTATTATTTTTTATAAATAACTCAAGGCGGCAAATATACATAATACTTCCTCCTCCTCCTCTTTTCCTCACAACAACCCTGTGAGATGAGTTGGGCTGAGAGAAAGTGACTGGCCCAAAGTCACCCAGCTGGCTTTCATGCCTAAGGCGGGACTAGAACTCACACTCTCCTGGTTCCTAGCCTTTGTAACAGCTCCCCACCTCTAGAACAGTTTGCTCCCCAAGGCAAGAGTCACTTCTACTCTCATGGCCTCCTGGAAACTTGTAAAAACTTGGCTGTTCTGGAAGGCCTTTGGAATTTGATTGCTGTAGTTATTAGGTACCAGGCATATATGTTGTTGTTGCTATTTTTATATAAATTCTGTTCTGATTTTAGTGTATTTATTGCATGTTGCATTGGTCCTGTACAGCTTCTAAAGTATACGCCACTGAAGTGGTTCCTTCCTTCCTTTATTTATTAATTCATAAATAAATTTAATAATAATAATCAAATAATTCACATTCCCCTGAGCTGGGAGAAAGTGGAAGCAAAACATCTTGTTCTTTCAATATCCAGTTTGGTCTTACAGGAACTAGCCTAAGATCATTTGCAGGATATTACAGATAAACTTGTTCTTTTAAAACCTTAAAGATCTTTGATGATAGGAAAAACAGCTTTGAGAGGGAATGATTTAAAGAGAAGGCAAATGCTTTTTCTTTGCACACCTTTTTCAAATTCTAAATTGCCCTCTTCCTAAACAAAGGTAGTTTTTCCTTCCTTCACATTCCAGATGGGCCTCTGTGTGGACGAACATGCATCTAGAGGTCTGTGAGATGAAAAGGATTTGTAAGTGCTTTGAAATGCAAAAATGATGGGCAAGTAAACTTATGGAACTGCATTTCCATAAACAAAGATGTTGCTCTGCTGGCTTGTAGGAAAAGTGGAAATTTGTCCTAGGTCTCTTCCTCACTGCTGAATTAGTGCTATTCTCCAGTCTTTGAATTAGCAGGAAACTATACTGAAAAATGTCCTGTCACATTAGCAATCCCTGGCATGCCACAGGTACAATGCAGGTAAATTATATTGCCTTTATTACTTTTGTAAAGGGGCAGGGAGTGGTGATTATCCTGGCTTTTTTCCTCTCTCTTTCCACCTAAGTGACTGTGGTCAGGATAAAAACAATCCACCAATCACTCTCAATGTGGACTAGGGCTAGGGAGGAGATAAATTTTTATGAAAGGCTATACCAGTAGGTTTCTCCATCTCTCAGAATTCACTCTGGTTTTGCACAAGCCTTTTGCATGAGTGTGTTCAAAGGAACTTGATTATCAGCTGATATCTGCAGATACTTGGGCTCCTTTAGGACATGGGTTTAGCCCTTTTCCAGAAGAACACTAAAACTGTTTTTGAAAGGAGCCCAAACAATAGCTGATAGGCAAGGGAAGAGTTGTACCATGAAGCAGCATAAAGGCAGCCAGCTCATTCTCTCCTGCTTCACCATGGAGCCTATCCCCCCACTGCTGATAGGCTGCTGTTCAGGATTGGTAATAGTGCAAAGATATTGGTTCAAAAGAATGGGACTGTCCCATTGCCAAAGCAAAATAGCTATAGAATACAGTGTGCAGAGACACAAGGGAAGGGGACATGCCTATACCAGTTTAGAATGGCCCATAAGTGCTGAGCTTATTTCATCCCCTAGTGGTCAACTAACCACACCACCAATGGCATAGTCAGTGAACCATGTCATTTGGTATCTATGGCAAAACCTATGTCAGAATAAAGGGAAAATGCCACTTTAACACTGGTGTAGTTTAAGGATGACTCAAGGCTGGGGATCGGATGAAAGTAATGGCATGAGGACACTGCAGAAAAAAAGAAGTTGCCAAGGTATGTTTGTGCCACAGTTAGATGCAAGTGAGGAAAAGTCTTATTGACAGTGGGAACCAATTTCCAGTGAGTAAGTGCTTGCACTGATTCACTTGCTAATAGAACATCCCTGAAGCTCCTATGAACACTCTTACTATAGCAAGGGCTACAGTTAATCTTTGGGATGCAGGTTGCCTTTCTATCCTTCTTGAAGGAGCATTGATTTTGTATGACTTGTAATTATTACACAGTTAACCACCATGAAGATGTACCTATTGATTAAATGGAATATGTCTTATTAGAGATGTGAAATATCCAGATCTGCAGTGGGCAATATCTGGTGTGAGCATCTTTGCATTTCCTATTGGCAGCTTCTTAAAGGTGCTGTGCCATTTTCTGGGTTCACACAGTAGCTGCAAGGTTTCAGGAAAACATGTATTTGAGTTAAAGAAGAGTTAAGAAGGTGGCAACAGTATGGCCTCATGTCATTACATTGTGTTGCTGCCTCTGTAATACCACTTGATCAAATGAGTATTTTTGTGAACTTGTCCAGCTACCATGTAAGGTGCTGTGAACAGGCACAGTGAGGATGCCTGCTTCATATCCAAAGCAACTGCTTTGGATCCAAATAATGTATACAGGTAGTCCTTGCTTAACAACGGTAATTGGGACTGGCAGTTGCAGCAATTCCGGTTGTCATTATTAAGCAAATCCCACACGGGCGTTAGTGACCTCCTGCTGGCTTCCCCACTGACTTTGCTTGATGGAAGCCAGTAGTGAAGGTTGCTTGTTGGAAGCTGATAGTGAAGGTTGCAAATAGTGATCACGTGACTGCAGGACACCACGACCATCATAATTGCAAGCTGGATCCCAAGCGCCCAAACCACAATCACGTGAACATAGTTGTAACAGCCACAGTTATGAGGACCAGCCATAAGTCCTCTCATTCAGTGCCATCGTAACTTCAAATGGTCACTGAACTAATGGTTATTAAATGAGGATTACTCTTAATAAATGAGGATTTACTATTAATAAAGGATTTACCTCTATTTTTTACACAAATTTTGTTAATGTATTAGGACATACAAATAAGATTGTGTTTTGCTTTTCAGAAACTTCTTACACAACTTTTTGTGGAATATGATGGCTTACCATCAAAGGGATGACGAGGCTCTCCTTCTATGTCATCTTCAGCCAGGATCACTTCTTCTATAGGAAAAGACTGGAATTAAGCTAAGAATGCATTAAACCAGGCCATGTGTCAAATGTGGAAAGATGCCAAATTGCCAAAAAAAGA